TGCTCGAACAGAGATCAGTGGCCCTGTTTTGTGCTTATACACACACAATCTCGGTCTCTCTCTCTCTCTCGCTTGAATCATCTCAATTTTGCTTTGTTTATTAATTTATCGCGGTGAAAGTGTTTTGTACCGACAAATATGCGGTGACGATGTCTTTTTTTGCGCATAAAATGCAAATGCGCAATACTGCACACACACACACACACATATATATATGACATATTTTGCAATTTTTCTATATCTTCTTGCGCCTGGCCCACCTTCCAAATAAATATCAGATTTCGAGGAAACCAGAAGCACATCACAGTTCTCATAATTTTCATCGTCTTTTTACCCTATGGAATCAATCTAATTATTTTTCTAATTTATATCCTTTATTGCAATTGTTTGCCAATGCTTTTTTCCCCATTTAATTTTATTTCACGCTTCCTTGTTTCATTCGCGCGAACACTTTCCATTCAGGCATATATACACACACACATACATCCATGATCGTGTTAACCGTTTTCCAACGGCATTCAATCATGTTCAGCATATAATACGAACTGCAAGAAAGCAAATGATATGTTTGTTAGATTTTTTTTTTTTGAAGTTGGTGTTGTTCTGTTGCACTGTTCTCAGTTCCTTCCTTGTTGTTGTCCATTACATTATTCCTTAATAAATAAAACACTTCATTTTAAAGTGTTATACTCAGCAGGGGCAACCATCGTAACATTATATATACCACACAATTCATATTATTGAGTCAAACGATTAAAGCTGCAATTTCATCCAGACAACATACTCAAAGAGATTGAACGAAAGCGCGCAAATACACACACAAAAACGCCAATGGTGTATATGAAACGATATTCAAGCACTTACATTGCACGCAACACACGAAATGCGTTACAGGATTTCTCACATTCGGTGAATCAAGAGCATACAACCAAAATACAAAATTCCATATTACCAAAACGTAAATTCGATGTCGACAGCCAATTGCTCTAACCTTGCCAATATATGCTACGTACCGTGATCGACCATCTGCCGAAACGCAATGGGCAATGGTTATTGGAGTCATTGCGACGCCGTTGTTGCCGACAAGCGGACAACAAAACCACTTCCAATTAATTCTCCATAACTTTATCAAAAACAAAAAGTGAACTCCAAACAAAATCTTTCACATGCAGCGCACACGACACGTTGGCACTATGCACAAATGTTTATTTTCCATTGTCGTTGATTTAATGAATCCCATTTAATACCGTTTATAAATGCGATATGGCAACGTTTTAAAGTTGGCACATTTGATTTTTGTACACATAAACAAATTGGAAAAGTGTTCTAGCTTTGGTCACAAATGAAAATTAAATAAAATGAAATGGAGATACAATTCTACGAAGCATAAAGCCCTCGTGAGGGTTAAATGTTTTCTATTTGAATTTCAACAGAATATACGCCATTGGTCAGTTTGTGTTTGTGACTGTCGCGTTTTGTCGCAGTGTGAGCCTTTAATTAATATTCATTAAACACACAATTAAGTATTCTTCGTCCGAGAGTGTATTCAAGGTCTTATATCTAGATTTATTAAATGGAAATGACACCGTATTTTAGATGCATGCATTAGATATGCATAATGTGTGCGCGTTTAATAAAAACTATAGTTATAAATAGATATAACCAGATGCTTATCGATACAAGGAAAGAAGAAGAAATTCTCTTTTTTTTACGGAGAATATGAAATACACATCATTTCACGACGATTTCAAATCTTCACAAAATTATCCAATAATAACACTAATATAACAATTCATCGAAGGCAAGTGTGTATGTGTGAACATGCAACACATTTAATAAACGTTTTCAACTGGAGCCCCCCGAAACGAATGCACGCGTGATTATTGTTCGTTTGAACATTGTCTAACAGCCAAATGTTAACGATAAAGCGATGAAGTTATAAATTTTTCGAAACACAGACACTGCGCTTCGCGAATACAAAAACTGCATCTTTAATACCATCTAATCGAATGAGGTAAACGTGCGCGCACAAAAGAGAGAGAGAGAGAGAGAGAGAGAGAGAGAGAGAGAGGAAAAAAAACTTGCTGTGTGCTTAAACACACAAAGTGAAATGTATTGATTTAATAGCACGATGTATTGATGATAAATTATAAGTATCGAATAATATACAAAATCAGATGGATAAAAAAGTGTTCGATCGCGCTCATATATGTGTTGGGATATTTGATGGTTTTTCGAACTATTTTTTCAATGCCCAATTCTCGGAAACAACATTTTTGAATGGTGGTGACTCGCGGTGATACGTTTTTTTTTTTAAACTCTCTATCGTTCGTTTGTTCGTGGCATTCATTTGTTGTTGATTCAATTCTTTTTCATTCGATGTTATAGTTGTTATTTTTATTGTTATATTTTGTTCAACTTTTCGTTTGTCGTTTTTTTTTTATTCGTACCGTTTTTCTGTCAATTTTCGTTCAGGCACTGTTCATGTCGCTGTCTCTTAATCTGGTTTATTCACGAACGGCGGTTTGAAAAATGTCGCAAATCATAAAAAGAATTGATCAACACCAGATTCACTGATATTTTGATGTGTATAACACAGACGCTGTTTGTTCAAAATTCTTTTTATGTGCTCTTCTTTTACTTTAATAGTCCACACGAAACGGCTTTTTACTGTTTGTATGGCCGTTTTTTTTCGGTTGGTTCATTGGTCGATGCGTTTCCATATGATGTTGATTTGAGCAAGCAAGAGAGAGTGACAGAGAGCAGCAGCAGAAGAAATCCAAAGAATATTACAAGTCTGCATAAATATCATTTCGGCTTTCTTTTGATGGTGTGACGATCTGGATGATGATCATCATCATTCTTTCTATCCTCCTGCTTTAGCTTTTATAGAACTACCATTTTCAGTTATAAAAGCGAATAAGATTGTCATGTCCGCGTGTTTATCGTGAGCGCAGAATCTTTTGCACAATAAAAGGTGTTTTTGTTGACCGCAAACTATAAAACATTTCGAGAGCTATTTAATGTAATGGACAAGTCTAAAAATGAGACCACTGTCAAAAAGTATGTTTGTTTTTTTATTTCTTTCATCTCTCTCTCTCTTCTCTTTTCTTCTGTACGTATTTTAATTCATCGTTTGCTTGTCTTATTTTTCATTTCGGATCCCTCATAATTTTCATTTTGTATGTGTTTTTTTATGTCATAAATTATTACAACTTAAATGCGAGTGATACTGCAGCGAAATTTCGTAATAAAAGTGCTTTTTTATTTCTATCTCTCTATCTCTCTCACACACACACACAGCCGTTGATGATTCCTTTTTTGAAGTTATCTCCACTCTTTTCATAAGAAACAAGGCTATTTAAAAAAAAAAATTGTATGATATCTATCGATGGATTTAATGTGTTGCAGTTTATTATGGTTGGAATGAAAGACTCACGAGATCAATTATCAGTAGCCAAGAGTGTGGCCAATTTAAATATAAAACAATTCTATTGAAAGAAAAAGTTTATTGTTTAAAACAAAATTTGTTTCTATTCATTGACAGAATGCGCGAGAAAGAAATATTTTTTTTGGAGGAAGGACAAAAAAAAGCATAGGTACATTATGTATATATAGACGACGACACATTAAAACCAAACACGTGCCTTCCTTTTTGTTATTCATTGATAAAGTGCTTCCATATTATTATTTCCAAGAAACGAACATTTCTATACGCATCTAAAAACGCCCGTTCTTCTTTTTCTGAATCAACCATACCAATTTCAATTGCCATCAACTTGCTAGCAAAACTAACTGGAAACTCTGTCATTTTTATCGAGCTCTCTCTCTCTTTCTTTTATACCGCAATAAAAATAAGCAGAAGAATTAATAAATGACAATTACGTGAGGTGAAAATTTATACTTGCATTCTTTTCCATTCTTTACTGGTCTTGTTGTTGTTATTGTTGTAATTTAATTGATGCTTTGCCTCTTTTTTCTTCTTCTTCTCCTTATTCGCTGAATTGTGGTTTCTTGTTAAATTTTATTTTTTGAATGAATTATAAGAAATTAAAACAAATTTTTGAGACATCGCGCGTATATACAAACACACTTTAATCAATATAATACGCATGATATGCATGGATATAGTTGTAAAAAAGGTACGTGTTTAAGCACGCACAAGCATATATACTATGTCCCCCGCACGAACAATGAGTAGTTTTGCTTAATGTCTTTTTTCATGTCACATTTTCCATTTTGTGAATGTGATATGTTATTCGTTTGAGACCCATTTGGTACGTTAAGGAGAATTTTGAAATATTACATCATATTTTCATTTCCAGAAAAAGACACACATCTTCTTTTTTTGGGGAGGAACAGGAAGCAAAAAGGACATGAACCATTGTTAAATCAATAATTTATCTAAATTGTTCCATTCATACGATCTCTATCTATATGAGACTTGCATTCCTCTTCTCTGTATTATTGATTTTTAAGAAAGGTTACACTTCGTACCACGAATTTAAATCCATTCAAAATAATAATTATCGAAAAGCCCATCCTTTTTTATTGCTATCGTTAAGTTCCATCAACAATCAAGCCCATTCAGTTAATCATGGCAGCCAACACATAATACGATGAGAATAATAATGATTGACTCTTTTTCTCTCTGTCAAATCTAGTATGTGTATCTGATTCAGATAGACAGGCAAATCAACGAAATCCAGTTTCCTCAACTAAAACCAGGATGAACACACACTCATGCACACAATATTGCAATTTAAATACCGCGAAAATGTTATTATTATAATTCAATGCGAAGAATGGTAGAAGAGTTAAAAAAAACTGCACGCAAATGTGTTCCCCTGCAATAATTCGAAAAAACACAAATACACTTGAGCTATGAGTTGAAAAAAAAAGAAAAACCACGTGTAGATGTTCAGTAAATAGTTCTCTAATAGATATCATTATATATTTTTCTTTAATTATTCAAAATAAATATACAGAAATTACCCGCATTACACATCGAAAACTTATACGATAAAAAATATATACATAGAATGCATCGTAATTTGCCACAGAATATTCATGGTACATACAGTCTTATTTTCTTCTCTTTCATTATCATTATTCAATATAGGTTTTTGTTTTGTTTGTATATAAATTAGTTTGGCTTAAATTAAATTGGCAGGTAAATCAGATCAGTTGAATTGAGAATCGTCCACATTAATTTCTTCATCATCCATACAATGACTGCTGTCGTCTTCATCACTTAGGCTGCGGTTTAAATTTTTACTGCCCGTGCTATTGTTGCCTTCTTGTTGCATTCTTTTATGCTTTGTTCGTCGATTTTGGAACCATACTTTGACCTGCGCGAGCAAAACAAAAAAAAAAACACACAAAATAAGGGATACGTTTTTTTTTATCGGTAAGAATACAAAAAAAGAACCAACAACAGACTTCTCAACATATGTATTCAAAATATAAATGAGATTCTAGCATTGATTTTTTTCTTCGTTATCGTCTTTCTCTTCTTCTTCTTCTTCTTCAGCGGTTATACGTTTTTAACAAGAAATTTCGACAAATCAACATTCAACCATAAATATTTTGGTTAACATGTGCCAGATTTATTTCTTATTTTTCTTGTTAATTGTGTATACGTTATAATGATATAGAGAGAGCGATCGTTTTGTGTATGCTTGTTTTTTTTATTCTCTTTACCTGAGTTTCTGTGAGATTTAGGGTTTTGGCCAATGCCTTTCGTTCTGATCCTACAACATATTGATTGCCTTCGAATGCATTCTCTAATTCGAGTAACTGTAGTGGTGCGAACGCTGTGCGAATTCGTTTTGGTTTTCGGTAAGGATGTAATAAGAAATCACCTGAGAAACGAACATAATTTCAATTATTAAGTCAAATATTACGGTGAATCGGTATAGTTCATGATTGTAGCACATGTCGAGCGAGTGAGTAAGTTAGGCTTGTTCAGCAATTAACACCACAAAATGACAGCACAATTTTAGCCTGGTCAGATAATCATCAAATGCAACCGTCAAACCAAGCAATAAATTGTTTGGTGTTTCTCACATTCAGCTCACTTGGAAAGTATATTATTTTCGTTTATTTTAATTTATTTTTTTTTCTCTTTTACTCGCCACAAACGCGAATGAGAGGAATATGAAAAATGCTTACCACTGCCATATCCATATGGAAATCTTTGCATATGATACGATGTACGGTGGAAATTATTGCCTAAAATTTGCGAAAAGTTCATCGCTTGCGGCTGAATTGATGCGTTATATTGATAATTTAGAGCAGCTGCCATTTGTAATTGAGTGTTGAGAATTTGTTGATGTTGTTGCATTGCGTTTAACGATAATAAATTATCGGGCGGTGAAAATGGCAACTGTTGTTGTTGTTGTTGCTGTTGATATGGATGCTGCAAACCATGATTGGATAGCCTATGTTGTGGCGCACAATTTATAAAACGAACGGGTATATCACTGCTATCAATATGGTTTACAGGGCTATCTTCTCGGCTATAATCCTCTGAAATGATTGTTGTTGGCGTTGTTTTCATTGTTGGTAATTCAATCGATGTTGGCGATAATGGTTTTGTTACACTTTTCACGTCTTTTTCGGAATCGCTCTTCAGCAACAATTCTATGCTGAAATTTGAGCTCATTTTTGGCACATTGGTTGGCATTGTTTGCAGCATTTTTTTTTCTCTTTATTTACTTTCAATCGAAGTCGTCGTCGCTGCTGTTCTTTTTTTTTCTTCCACAAATCACAAATAAATTTTTCCGCTGTTTTGCACCGTTGATATTTAGAAGAGAAAATATAAATCCACGTATTTTTGGTCAAATGTTACACATTCATTTAAAAGCGCGATATTCGATATTTTGGTGCATTTACACTTTGCATTTGAGTTTCGAACGATATTTCAATGAGCAAGAGTCAGAGCGAGATATTTTGACGATGTGTAGACTACGAGATCTAACGTACAACTGAAGTTGAATTGCCTCTAGATGAACAACAACGACGACGCAGACGAAGTTATGCGACAAACTACGAAGGGCGTGTTCACACGAACCAAACAGAGAGAAAACCATACAAAACGGAGGATGAGAAGAGACAATGAAATTGAGCATGAACATTAAAATAAAACGAACGAACGAAAAAAAATGGAAAAGAATCATGGTCATGATGAACACCAAGAATCAACTCGACGATTTCTCGTTTCGAAACATACACAAAAATTTCCTTCTCTCTGATGCCTCTCTACTCTGTATATAATAATTTGTAGGTGAGTTAGAGGAGCTAAAGCACACAGAGACCGGCAGAAAAACAAAGAAGAAGATACAGCAAATGTATAAACTGCTTTTCGAATATAATCTCAAGTTAAAAGACTCTTGGCAAAAACCAATTTTCTTCTGGGAAGATTACTTGCTAAACGCTTTAACTTTTTTTTCGGTTTTTTACTCCTTTTTTGGTTCAGTTTTGGCAACAGCAAGCAATCACTGCAACTTGTAATATATTTTCTGGATGATTATTATAGTATATATAAGTGTGAGTGTATGTTTGTCGATCGGAGCTATTAAATGCTATGAACTGATTGTCGAAATGTTGCGAATAAAAAAAAAGCAATCATAAGTAGCAGACTGTTAATTCGTTAATTGCTTGATATATTCACCACAAACTGTTAAATACCGCTTTATGTGTTATCTCTCGTTTTATTTCATTGTATTTTTTTTTTGTTCTTATCCAATTTATAAGTATGTGATGAAAATGCGAAAAAGATCAATATTTGGTAGCAATTATCATTGTTGGCCATGTTGTCTCGCTTTATTATGCATAAAATTGAGCGGGACTGCGTCGTTGATCACACAACAATGAAGGAACGCATTTTACTTTATTGTCAACAAGGGGCGAAAATGCAATCAGATTGGTTCTATCATTCTTTATTTCGTCCATTCTCTTGTGCTCTACGCACGTGCATAATATGCGTTTTGTTATCAATAAACAATTCGTTTACATCTGAGATGACAATCGACAACAACAACAGCAACAGCAACAGCAAACGCTTAAACTACAAGATTGTGAACAATGTGTTATTGGAATGGAATCAAAAGCGCGCGCTCGCATATCAACTTTTAACAATAAGAGCGAATCGAATCGAGATGCTGAAACAGTAGAAATGAACGTATAAAAAAACGAAGAAGCAAAAAAAAGACGACAACTACATGGCGATATTTGTAACAAATTAAGCCAGTTCTTACAACAACCACTTATACTTATAATTCTGTAAGGAATACTGAGCAGGCGGCATCGATTCAATTTAAAAAAGAGAATCAAAAATGCGCTTAGTTATGTACATATTACATGTATTTTAAAGCGAAACTACTGTGAGCCAGAGCTATGGATTTGTGACCGGTGTGTTGTTTACCTTTTAGCGTTGTTAAACACACTGATGCAACGCTTTTTGTGGTGTAATTTTTTGCAGTAGTTTTCATAGTCCTGTTGGTTCTTTTTTTGAGATTTATTCTCTTTCTCTTGCACTGGAAACATCCAGTGTGATATAATAATTGGAGTTCCTTCTTTTATCATCAAATCCGTATTTGGTATGTGATAATCGTTTGTGCAGATACGAGAGAGAAATGGAAATGTCGGATATTTTCGGGCGAGACACAAATGACTATTTTATTAATTTAATTAGAAAATTTGGTATCAAGAAAAGATATACCGACATTTTTTTAAATAATTAGCCAAACAAATCAAACGGGCTTGCGATTTATATTTAACAGTCGAAATTGTTATTGCTATATTAGTTCTTGTTGATTTTATTTTTTAAGTTGTTATTTTCTTATCGTTTTTTTTCGATTTTAAATAAAAAAAATATCTCCCTGTTTGTGGCATAATTCACTGCACACCGAACTTATATACTCTTTGGTAAAATCACAGATAGTTTTTCGTCCTGTTTTTCTATCTCTACTTTTACTTGAGACGATTTTATATCTGACCGATAAGGACATTTTCTATTATCAAATTAAATTTGACAAATTTTCATTGCGGTATGAGATGTTCTAGAGAAAATTTCTAAATGGATCTTTTCTAAAAGAATCATTTTCATTAAGATTGGATGAACTTGTTCGAATAAAATTAATTTACGTTAATGACATTGGCAATGGATTCAAACTTGGTGAAATTTCAAAAAATATTTTCTACCAAATGAAAAATTTTAAGTTGGAAAGGTAGAAAAGGTACAAAATATAAAGATGGCCATTTGATTTTATACTAATGACAACTAGTATGAATTGCAATTTATTTAGGGTACCTGGTACCATGATCTGCTTTTGATACTTTCAGATGGGTAGTTATAGGGGTTATTCTCTATGTCACGATTATTTTTGAACATTTGTCCTGGACATCGAGAGTTCTTAACTAATAGTGAGTTGAAAAATATCTGAAATGCGTACCTTTCAATTTCAAATTGAATTAAGAGCATACGTCCTCAGCAGGTCCGAGGGGTCCGATTACCCCCCCTGACGAAGTGTTACCCCTTGAAAATTTTCAAAGAATTCTTTCAATTTCCGCCAAAAAAGTGAGGACCTTTTTTTTTTGCTCCTCTGTTTTGTTTTCAATGTAAGAAAAATTCTTTTAATTTGCTAGGGAATTTCGCCAAAAAAGTGAAGAGCAAAAAAAAAAACTTTTCGCAAAATACACTTCAATTTTTAGCTTACCCCTCTCGATTTTTTTTCAATTACCCCCCCTTAAATTTTTCCCTTGAGGACGTATGATTAAGAGTCAAAAATATGTACACTGTCACTCGTATACAAACGTCGTCAATATAGTATATTTGACAGTGAATTTCGTCACCAGGTTCTTTGCCCAGTAATAAGTGTCAAATAGTTGCTAAAGAACAATTAAAGCATTTTAGATTCTGTAATGAAGAAGTTTTTTCCATTATCATCATTAATAATCGAAGTAACCAATTTTTAGACTAAAAAAACTCATGTGATTTGACAAAATAGAATTTTTTATTAAATTTTATTGAATTATGTAACTGTGAACCACTCACCGTCAATCAATTCAAACCAATGTGAACCTTAATTATGTGTCAACTTCTACAATCAATTTTCAAAGATTAATCTTGAAATTTCAATTGAAGTGTAACACGAAATACAAAACAACATTATTGTAAATTGAAAAAAAGTGTGCGCCAAAGTGCATTTTACTCAGGCTGATAATTGCTAAATTGATGCGACGCGATGACAGCAGAATACCGCATGTAAAATGAAACGATGAAGAAGAAGAACAAGAGAAACAAAAGCCAAAGTGAATGTATACAACACACGGTATTAATTCATCCAATAAGTGATGGAAACATTCAAAACTATTACATTTATTTATGTTTGTTGCTCCCGTACGCGATAAAGCAATACATTTTTATGGGCGAAAATGATGAGCAATAAACGCCCACATATTTACACGTCTGCTGCAGCAGCAGCAGCCACAGAAAAAAATGAATCTTGTGTGTACTCTCCGAATGCAAGCAAACAAAATGCTTGATGAATCGCGCACGGCGTGTGAATATATATAGTAAAAAAAACGTGGGTGAGAGACAAAGACAGCATACGAAAAAAGAACGAAAAAAACCGAAAAAAAATAAAATGTCTATTAATTTCTGAGTCAAGAACTCACTTTCTGCCTCATGTTCAAAAGTCCAATGGTACAAGAGAAAAACGAAATGAAGACTAAGTGCTGCAATCAACACATAATATATATTTCTCATCATCGCAATTGACTAGGTAGAGAGAAAAGAAATACTCGAAAAATTATCTCAACAATAATTAATAATATATTGTTATGTTGAAATTGCTTCACATTCTATAGTCGACTGATGAACTAGAACAAGCGCATCAAGACTTTTTCGGAGACGAAGAATTTAAAAAATAAAGCACAAAATACACATAATTGAAAGCAGCTGCGTGATCATCATGAAAACATACAACCACATCCACAACAGAGAATTTAATTTTTTCGGGGCGCTACAACATTTAAGCATAATGTCTATTTTATGTGGCACTAACGTAATGTGTTGATGGGTGAAATTCATTTACTGCATTGTATCGACTCTTTGTGCTCTGAGTGTGTGCACTTTGATTTGTTTGTCGCTTAAGTGTGTGCGTGTTATCGAAAGGTAAAATTTATTCAAGCTAACTGCCTTCCATTGCATCCATAGCATAAAGTATGAGCATCCTAATTATCGTGATGAATTTCATTGACTGTATCTGTATTTTGGGTTGCAGTAATATTTCAAAAAACATGAAAACAATCAAAATCAATTAATTTGTCTGACATAGATGACAAAGAATGCAACGAAGAGAAGAGAATGTGCATGTGTGCTGTTGTTGGCTTTGTAATTTGTATGATGACTGTAGGATCGCAGAAAAAGAGAGAGCGAGAAGAGAGAAAGAGAGTGAGATTTAAGGCATGGATGCAAATGTTTAAGCCATGAATAGACGAATGTATGGGAATTGTCCAATTATAATTGGCTTAACAGATTTTATCACCACATATAGTTGACATTTACACAATTTATAATTAAAGTGGTATCGCGCGCGCACATCACTGTGAGCTGTATACAACTGTGTATTCTTCCATTTCAATCGATATCCATCACGTAGTTCTGTACACACACATGTGCAAAAATTGTTGTGTACACATCCAAAACGACCTATTGCTGGCATGCGCGCACGCGTGTTTCTACACAAAGCATACGTTTGCGAATGCGCAAAACGGGCCCGTTTCTGAGATTGTGTGTGTGCCCCTTTTTTCAATTCCGCAAAAGTGTGCGCGCGCTTTACAATCAATTTCAAGCAAGTTTCAGTACGCGTTTACCACCGGCATTCAATGCAAACGGCAATATTTTCTTCTTTTTATTTTCTACTTCTTCAATTGACATTCATTTGGATCGTTTTTCGTTCTT